CACTATCACTATCTGCGTCAAACTCTAAGAAATGGAGACGACACATATTTTACCATGGGCATTACCCATCCCTCACTCCCCCAAACTCCCTACCAACTAAGCAATACAGACATAAAGAAACCCCAATGGCAGAACATGCCCATCATATTATGCACCCTATTTCCAATATTATCTATCGTATGCCATTATTCAAAGTTAGCAATAAAAGGGTCTACACAATGGGAGACCATCTAGTCCAATTCTTGCGTCAGTGTGGCCATTAAAGACTTTATGAATGCTTATAAAATGAAATGATATATCAGAACATGAACTCATTAGGTGTGTGGTCCCTCGTAGATCATACTAAGCAAACGATGTTTGCTGATACTGGACTGTGCTTGATGATCTAAGCCAGTCGGTTGAAAAAAATGCATGTTACCATGGCATAGAGTATAAACCAATAAGGGTTCTAATGAGTCATCCCTTGATGGGGTCGGAGTATGCCCGGATGAGTGAGTCGAAAGACTGTGTGACCTTTATGTGTGATGGTGACCTTCATAGAAAGGGGCCAAAGCCTCATCCATGTACCATCACACAGTGTGCATATTTATAGACCGTTTCGAGAAAGCAAGTCACCTTTTAGGGTGAAGCGTATGCATGTACGAGAGATACTCCTATGCGCCATAGGAGTTGTGATCGTATCAGGTCTAAGTAACCTTTGCACGCCTCTAGGGGAGAACCTGAAATCCACAGTTAAAGGTGAAGTGCCCCAGTGTTTGATTGATTTAATTCCTAGACTATTTAGATCATTTTTCCATCTAATGAATTTAATTATGTTTATTTTATAATATATATGATTTTAGAATTATTATTTAAACTTTTCTAGATCTCTAGATATTTTATTTATCAAATTGGGATTTATAAAATCAGAGATATTGATTTTAAATTGATTTAAATATTCAAACAAATTCTAAAATTATTTTATTGAGTTTTAAAAATATTTAAAATTGTATGGAGGCCCATTGTGCATATGGGCCTACCATGCCCTAGATGGTGGGGCCCATGAGATCCTCTCATGGGTGGCATGCCCCACCCATGCAGAAGCTTTCTATTTTTGTGATAAGTGATTTTGGCTTGTAGGCCAAGTTGCTATGTGTTTTGGAATGGTATTGGCTTGACGAAGCTTTGAATGAATTTTTGAAAAGAGAGATAAATATTCTAGTACCTTCCATAATATTGATGGCCCATCTATGGAATGGATGGTTCAAATCTCTCACCCTACAAATCACCCAAGATCAATTATTCATATTCAATCTCACATGAAGAAGCAAGCCAAGGAAAACCCTAAAAAACTCTAATCATGTTCAAAACCTATAAAAAAAGGATTGTCTCTACCCAAAATCTCTACACATTTTCTTTCTATCTATCTCTTAAGAAAGTTTATCTTTCTCTCATGAAAGCACAAAAGGGGCACGTCCCACTCTCTCATCTTTTATCTCTCTCTCCCACATTGTAAAAAGGGGCTAAAGGTTTAGGTTATTGGGTTTTTCTCTCTCCCATCTCTCAATTATGGAGGTTAAAGGTTTTAGGGTATAACAAAAAGATAATTCATCTCTCTCAAACTAGGTTGCTAAACGAATTCACACAGGATTTGAGTTTGTGATCAAAGGGGTTCATGTTCTATTGATGTGGCTTGGCCTAAACTTGCTTTTCCGATTGAGATTGATCATTGATCATTGATCCCGTGCTATCGAATGGTCGTGACCCACAGCCCGATTGAGGTAATCTCCGATACTCTCTTTTTGTTTCTTGTCATATTTAATTATATTGTCTTTATATTATCAAGCATAAGAATTGTGGATATTTTTTTGTTTAAAGAAAATTAGTTCAATGGCATCAAGGTTTTTAAGATCTTGGATTTGTTAGTTTTATTTTCTTTGAAGCAATAATTATTGTAATAAGACTACTTGTAATTGATCTTTGCCAATATATAT